AAGGACCTCATATAAATTGAGGCACCGAGCAAGCCATTTGCGAGACAAAACCCAAACATCTTTCCATCCATCAGCGTCGCCATTGGACTGGCCCTGGCCGTCGCGTGCCTTTTCTCCCATGATGAAGAGACACCAGCCTCCAAGATACCATGCCTCGACACTCTGATCATCGTCAGTCGTCAGACGTTGTAGCACACTCAAAGCCTCATCCTCCATTCCGACCTCAAGAAGTAGTCGAGACAGACTGATCCGGGTAGGAAACTCGGGAACAGCAGGATGCTCTGGTGGCAGATCTTGCCACAGCTCCAGACTCCTTCTCAAGGCTTCCTTTGCCTCATCCACACGCTCCTGTGATATGCGAACATTGGCGACGGTCTGCCACGTCTCTGGTGATGTGGGTGCAATAAGCATGGCCTCGGTGATGAGAGACTCGCATCTCTGCTCGGCATCGTCCTCCCATGACAGGTCGGTCATGTAGACCTCTGCTACGGCGCACAGGACGCCACCCAGCTTTTCCTGCTTCTCATCTAGTGCCGCCTGCTGCTCCGGTGATTTGCTGGTGATGGTTGTGAGGTTCTGGATTTGCTGGCGCAGCGCAGATGCACCGCGCTCGAACCACTTGACGCTGTCCTGACCACCCTCCTCGCTGAGCTGAGCCAGAAACATGAACTTCTCGGGACCCCCGCCAATCTTCTCTTCGAGTGTACCCTCCTCGTCCAGCCGTACGGCCTTTTCAAAGAAAGCGCGAGCCTCATCAGTATCGCCGACTTCGATGTGCAGCACACCGAGCAGATTAAGCGTCCTCAGCTCAAAGTCCCCTCCTTCGCCAGTGGCCTCCAGGGCCTGGGAGGCGAGAATAATTGCCTCATCAAGGTTGCCAACCTCATATTGAGTCTCGGAGTCGGCCAACAACGTAGCCGGGCTCTTGGTCTTTTCTTTGCCGGTTGGACGGCTGGGCGCCATTGTGAGATTGGCTGGGGAGGGGTGAGGGGGAGGGGTGCTGTTGCTGTTGAGATTTGATGGCCGTTGTCTCCTCGGTGTGGGCTTATGTGTATGCGATAGCACTTCTGAGGCTGGCTCAACAGCTCCCCCAAGAAGACAGAAATGTACAATTGTGTTTGCTGATCTCAGAGAGATGCCTTCTTGCGCAAGTCCAGCGACCTGGGTTGAAAAAAATTAGGCTATCTCTTATCGATAAGCATTTCTTTTTGGCGGGGTCGTGATGGAATCGGATCTGCTTCAGACGTCACTAAAGGTGTAGAAGCACTCTTCGATTTTGCAATGACTGCTTTGTCTTTTTTTCTGCCTAATCTTAATTCGGTTTAATATACATAGGAGAAGAAATAATTTCTTAGTAATTGCTTGATTACGAGTGTAGGGAAATTTGATAATTATACAAGTCTGCCACCAGGGTGATAGCAATGCCTCACAGTTAACTACGAACTCAACTTGTACTATTGCGCACCAAACCTGAGAGCGTTTGTATGGAGTTTAGTTTCCTCGTGCTAGATCTGCTCTAGTTTATATTTCTTTTTGTTGCAAGTTACTTCCTGGTACCTACTAATGCGAGCACTACGAAGCAGGTATTTAAATGTCCCTTTCGGAACATGCAGGAAGTTATCGTTATCGTCAGTGCGGGGCAGATTGGTCTCATTGTGCAACCCACCTCGGAATCACTTACAAAGCAGCGCTTCGAAGCTTCTACTTCGGAACCAGAGTCAGACTATTTAGCTAGCCTCTCTCTGGTCGCAAATTAATCATATTATTGTTATTTCAGCTGCTTGAGATAACTGACCATTTGGGCTCTGACCACGAAATACTACATAATCTTCAGTGTCAGCCAAACCTCCACCATGTTCACTGGCATCGTTGAGGAAATCGGGAGTAGGTCCAGCCAACCCCTGGTGTCATTCACGTTCTATGCTGACCAGCTCACCAGCCATTTCCCAGGTCAACAATAATGATCACACTGGCGGAACGTCCCTGACAATCACCCTCCCCCAGAACTCACAGCTCCTTACCGACTGCCACGACGGTGACTCAATCGCCGTCAACGGGGTCTGCCTCACTGTCACAAACTTCACAGACACCCAGTTCACCATTGGCGTCGCCCCGGAGACTTTGCGCATCACCAATCTGGGAACCTTGGCCGAGTCTAGCCGCGTCAACCTCGAGAGGGCCGTTCGCGCCGACACCCGCATGGGCGGCCACTTTGTCCAGGGCCACGTTGACACCACTGCTGAGATCTTGTCTCTGACCCCAGACGGCAACGCATTGACGGTCAGGTTCCAGCCAAAGGAGAGGAGCCTACTCCGCTACATCATCTACAAGGGATTCATCGCTATTGATGGAACCAGCTTGACCGTGACCCAAGTCAACGATGTTGAGGGGTGGTGGGAGGTGATGCTCATTTCTTACACCCAGGAGAGAGTCATCATTGCACAGAAGAAGGCCGGCGAAACTGTCAACATCGAGGTTGACATGATGGCCAAGTACGCAGAGAAATCGCTCGCTGGGTTGCTGGGGGCCGACAACGGCAATGCTTCCATCCCCCTACTCGAGAAAATGGTCGAGCGCATTGTTGCACAGGGTTTTGGGGCCAAGTCCTAGTGTCATGCAAGCTGTCATACATATATAAATCAAAAGTACGCTCTGGGGCCATAATTCTATGTCGTGATATGAAACTATAATCAAACAAAGTTAGGTAGCTAATATTATCATTCATCATCAAGGGTTGCCTTTTCCTGTCAAATATCTCCCCACACTTCAGCAATTCGCAGGCTTAACGGCTTGGTAATTTTCTTTCTGCCAATGAGATTGCTCATCTCATTCGACACGAGCTCTCGTTTCCGCTTCTTGCCTTGCTCTCCGGGGCCACAGGCCTCAAAGGCCTTGACAAAATTATAAGGCGTCCTCCATCTCTTTTGGATCTCCAAGGCTCGCTCACCCGTCACACCCTTGGTCGTCATCAGCATTTTGAGAAATATGTCTCGTAAAGTCAACATTTCAGACTTGGAAGCCATCGAAGCAAACGCCGGATATGTGACGTAGTGGCCTTGCGATGGCTCCTTTTCCCGTAAATGCTCCATTAAAGGCATATAGTTGTTGGCGGTTAGCGCTCTGGTGGGAATCACCCTTAGAGGTCTTCGCTCATATGTTCGTTTAAGCATTGCCGTCATCCGCGCCAGGTACCGGATTGTCTCGTCCATTTTAGTTGTCCTTTTCACGAAATACTCATTGACGACCTGTGTTGATGCTATCGCAGACTGAACCGCCTCTTCGTATTTCGTCAACGTTCCCGAGTCCATCGATATATCTTCAATGATGTAGATGACTTTTTTGACCCCTGAGCGCTTGAGACGGAACTTCTGTTCGTGAAATCGGCCATCTTTGATACTGCCAATCAAGTCGTCTAGTCTCTTTCTCTCCACGATCCAATCGAGCACAACCTCGTCCCCTTCTGCGCCATGGCGCGCCAGCATCGAAGGATCGTTGCATTTCGCTATCCATTGTGCGTCACCAAGTTCCAGACTCCTCAAAATGGGTGTAACACCCTGCTTGGCGAGCTCCTCCTTCATATAATCGCGATCAGTCTTGGCCCTCACCTCACGAACATCGAGCAATAACTGCACAGTAAAGGTTCCTGGGTCAAGCGTGATGGGTGTGAAAGAAGGAAATGCACTATCCTCCACAAAAGCTGGGCCATCTGCGATAACGTTCTGGTACTCCGAAGTCGTCGCTTGGCCATGTTCAGCAGCTGGAGCGTCTGAAGGCCCAGCCTCGAGCTCAGTAAGGGGAGGCTGTTGCGGATTCTCCGCTTGCCAGTGTGGTGTCTCCTTGATGCGCTGGGCAACCTCCCAGCCCTCGTCGGTTAGCGCATATCTTCGCAGAGGCCTGCCTCTTTCGTAAACGAGTTCTTTCTGAAGCAATGTTTTGACCGAGTTCCAGGCAGTGTAGAACTTTGTGGGGTCGGAGGGTGCAGTGAACGAGGCGTCGCAATGAGGTTGTGCGAGTTCAATAAGTTCAGCCTTTGTGAGCCCGAGTGACGCATCAGCCGATTGTCTTGAGAGGCCGACTACAATTGCATATGCCCCCGATCTGAATGTAGGAACATATGACTTCTTTTTTCGAGTCTTGGCTTGCTTCGAGGCCTCTTGGCCTGCTGCATCAGATGTGCTTCTAGCCTTGTTTTGAGCCGCTTTTCTGGCTTGTGGGTGCTCAGGCATGGGCAAACCATTTTCCTGGCAATGCTTTTTTAGGAGGTCCGTCAGCCTCTCACAAAGTTTTGGGCCAAATCCCTTGAGCTGCTGAAGTTCAGCAGGATGCTGGAAGGCGATCGGGCAGGCCTTGAGAGAATCATAGGCGTGTTTATATGTTGTAAAACCCTTCGAGTTGCGTTCTCGGGCTACATCAAGCCATTCTTTGACCCATGCCAAAAGCTGGGGGTTTGCACACTCATCACCGTCCATTAGGTAGCATCACCACAGCCCGCAGGGGTGTACCAGAGTGGTGTATCAGAGAGGGGGACAGCAACCGGTTAAGCAAGCGTTCGGGTTAAATCAAAAGATCCCAAGAAGAAAGAGAATCAGCTACCAAAAAATAATTAGAGTCCGAGCTAGATACGCGCTCTTCTCAATTCGGCTTTTGAGCCAAGGCACTCCAGATGAAGCAAATCCGGATTACTGTCAATGCGCGATCGCGCGTTTGTTCTATTCCACAAATAATAGGCAGGAGATACTCACGAAAGCACGTGACATCGGGACATTGGGAACCACTAATAGCCCAGCAAATCAGCTTCTGAGTTAGTTCAAACATACGCCCGTGCTATAACATAGGTAGAATTCGCATATACAAGGTCTTCCTCAATTAAAATCGTCTATTGATATGGCTTTGTCTTAAGATATATAGCATGTCACGATGGCTCTAAAAATTTATCATCCTCTTGGCCGCCTCTCCCCATTCGAGAACAATTCATGAGATTAGCCTCATTCCATCAGCTCCTAGGTTTCTTCCCCTCCTGAAGTTGCCGGGGATGATGCATCAGTACCATTTTCACCTATTATTCTTGCATATCGGTGGTTTCTGCTGTTGGAGGAAGATCCCGATGGATGCGGCCGAGTGTTGAATTGGGCCATCTCAAGCCTCGAACCCCATATGTCAGGATGTCGGTTCCTCAGTTCTTCCTGTTCCTGTCTCGCCTGTCTGGCCTTCTGAGCAATCATATACTTCCGACGGTCTTCGTCTCTCATCAAAGCTTCTATCCCTCTTGGCATGTACACAAGGTGATCTTCTCTTTGAAGACGTGGGCTTGCGTCATCGACTGTCGCCTCTGCATGGGTGGCAACAGTTTCGAGCGCCTCTTCCTCATCTAGGTTTATATCTGTGTATAAACCTGCTGGTGTCCTTCTCCGAGCGACAAACTTTCCGTCGACATCCTTTGGTGGTCTTACCACGCTCCCTTTTCGGACAAGATGCTTAGTCTTCTCGTCGTCCGACCTCGTAACACGAGCATTCTTGAAGGTCTCCGGAACTATATTCAAGTCGTCTCCTTGTTGTTCTGCTTGCTCAATTGCCTCTCTAACGGTGGTGTTCGAATCGGCAGCGGCTGCATCGGCTCGTGGGCCGCCCCAAGTTCTTCGCCCGGCTGTGAAAATCCCGTACACTATGTAATACCAACTGAAGAAAGGGTTCAGGATGAACATTAGGGGGTATAAGAATATTTTAAACCTTCTCAGTTTAGCTCCGAAGTATATCATAAGAAGCCAATTTAGCCCGAGAGAAATAGCGATGAACCCGACTGGTAAGTCATCAATCTTCTTCGTTGTTGTCATCAGAGCAACCACCATGATAAAGAACAAGAGAGCCGTAGTGCGAATCGTATTCTGCATGAGGCGAACGGCAATTAGGATAGGATACCGTTTCCATAGTCTCCAGTCAGTAAGCATGCAAACCTCATTGGTGATGAACCCCAGGAACCATCGACGCCGCTGCTTAATCAGGGATCGACACGTCTGGACAGCTTCAGTTTTGCAGAATGCTGAAGTGCACATCTGGATTTGATAACGTTTCTTGGCACCGATCATGAAGAGGTGCGTGAGCCAGCGGTCCTCTCCAAGGTGACATTTAGCAAAATCAAATAGATCTTCGCATGCTTCAGAATTGTCTGCGAAATAGTATTTTGCCATCCTGCGGAAGGCAGAAAATCGGAGCATTGTCAACGCGCCTGGCAGACAAGTCACAGCACCACAGCCGGACTCGACCGTTCGCTCGAAAAGCTGGCCATGAATATACTCCATATCTTGAAGTAGTGTGATGACACTATGCTTTCGTGTTGTTGATGTAATGACGCCAGTCATGGCCAGCATGTCTCTAGTATTGCCGGGACTGAGCTCCATGTCATAGACAAAATTCTGCAGGCAGACTTTGTCTAGAATGCAATCCGAGTCGATGAATAGGATAAATAGATTGTCGTTCCGTCTGAGGTACTCTTCGTATACCTTGTCGATGAGCCGAAAAGTAGACTTTTGGCAATGGCGCTTTCCTCCATGCTGAAACCTGGAGACGGTGACACGAGCATCCTTGTATGTAACGTCGATGCTCCTGGGGTAGGTCTCCATTGTTAAAGGTATGCCGAGCTTTTCGATGGTATTGAGATACAGCTCATCCTCTTGTTCCCCATCGAATGACAGAAAGACATGGATACAGGTAGCAGGGTAGTCACAATCGACAACAGAGTTGACGGCTTTAATAAGAATCTCGGGCTCCTCCCGATAGCAGGGCATAACGATAACAACCTTGGGGGCTGTCACATCATCCAGGACCTGTTTAATCCGCTTTGTCCGCCCTAATTGGTTTGTGACTAACTGGTAAACACAAAACAGCCAAGGGACAGTAAGAAGAATGGCGAAACTCCAAAAAGCAAACCACTGGAGAAATTCGACCATCTCTTTAGGCCAAAATTGTGAAACCTGGTGGGGGAGCGGCAGTGTGACCACCATAATAGGTAGGAAAACGATTCTAAAGAAGTTACGCATTAGTCTCAGAAGGAACTCGGCTTGGGGATCTGGATATTTATATCGGATAGGATATAGGAGCGTTTACTAACCGAAGGAGAGTAAAAAGCGTACCCAGAATAATACAGAGGACATTGATGGACCAGTGTTCTGATTTCTGAAACACTTTGATCAGACAATATAGAAACGCTGCCAACCATAAAAACCACTCTAGGCAGGCCATCACCATGACGACTCCAATAATTGATGTGAAAATTGCCTGTTAAGAGACTTGGTTAGCTACTGGTTTACGGCTAGGCAAAGGTATACTAATAGAAGAGCGCACAAAGAAATGAGGATAGAGTTCGGATACTTACGTCCTTCACTGGCCACCGCCCATGTGGTGCCATCTCTCCCATCATGAAATACCGACCTTCGCTTGCTTTGCTCCCGGGTTATTCTTGGCAGCTCGTAGCGAAATGCGAGTCGAGCGATCGATACAGGAATAGCGCATGAAGCAAGGATATGTCCGAAAAACTAGAGTCTCCAGGACATCTCAATCTGTTACACAGGTGTGGCCCTCGAGAAGGCTGAAAGCAAGTTACGGGTCATCCCCGAAGTGAAAACAAGGTGAGGTGGGCTAGAGTGATCAAAGGTTTAGGAGAGAAGACTTTGAGGCCTTGGGCCGTTCCAGAAAAGAAGAGAAGGCACAGAAAAGAAGAAGAGCCATGCTGGTGCGTGCTACTTTAAGAGTAGTGCTACAGTGGTAGTAGGATAGTGCTGTACCAGGCAACAGGTACCTAATCAAATATATTGGTCGCACCTTCTGGAGAGAGAATGCGTTGGCTCCGTGGCAAACCTGTGCTACTCCTGCCATCCGGTACCTGCTTCAGTGCATGTGCTGCAGTTAACCTCGCCGGGTACCTGCCTCGAGTTACCTCTCCAGGTACCACTGCAGCTCTCCCACTACAGCATCGAGCGACGGTTACAACTACATGGATATTTAGAGACGTGCTTTGTCTGCACCAGTCTCTCGGGTCGGCAGTTTCTGATTCAAGGTAAACTCTCGAGGTGAATTCAGCGCTAATTCGCCAACAAGACATAATCTATCTTAAGCAACCAGTCCGTTTAGAGAGTGGCATCGCATGCACGAATTGCTAGGCCTGCTGCCATGCGTGGTGGTTACTATAAAATACCTAACTCTCCTTCGAGCCCAGTAACAGCAAGGACTCAGCGGCGTGCCCTCGAGCCATTGCTCATGATTCCTCCCAACTCGTCTCCATTGTTCCAGTTCGAGAAGGTAATGGGCACATTATGCTCTATACCCATTTCTTCATCCACTCAGCTGAATTGAGCCGAAGAGATCTTGGCGTGTGATCGCACGGCCAAGTTGTTGGGATTTTGGGGTCCAACATCTTTCCTCTTCCCTCTGCCCAAGAGTGAGTTGGAGATCGCCTGTGAACTCTAATGGACAGGATGCGCAAACATATATGTTGCAATACTTCATTGCCTGACTTGCGAATGAGCGGACCTTCCCGTGCATTAGGTCGCAGGTTTCTCGCTTTTCAGAAGCGGGTCGTAGTAGCTTCAGATATGCACGAAATCCTTGTCCTCGCGTGAAATTCGTATGATGCGGCGCCTCCTACTTGGTCCGCGTTGGCCATGCAGGGTATGTTCGCCGGTTTACCAGTCAACATCGCTCAGCTGCAGCTTGCGAACCCGTTGCCCCCGATCCTTACCCGGTTTTTCAACGCGGTTATGATGAAAAGTCTGTCGTTCATGGACTGCAAATCGGTATGTTATTATCAGGTTTGTTACAGTGAATAAGGAAGTAAATGAGGGCTTCTGTATACCTTCTTGCTGGTCTTCATTCTGTTGAAGATCGTAATTCAAGACCAAATTCTTGATACGCTGCTGCTCTTCCTTCTCGGCCTGCTGCTGGTTCTTCATTGCAATAGCAAATGTGGAATCCGAGGGTAGCTCGATCTGCTTAGTCTGTACGGATTGTTAGCTCTACACAGCCTTCAAAAATAAATAGATACCACTAAGCAGGGGGCCATTTACCTGCTGGCGGTTTCCTTTCTTCGTGAGTAGCGAGAAAGCCATAGTATTGATTGCTGGGGCGGGAGTCTCAGACTCGGCTGGAGCTCCGCCAGAACTGACCGCCGATGGCTCTCGTGTCTTTGGCCGCACTGGGAGGGGTACGTCAAAGAGCTGCTTGCGTTCAAATTTCCGCGACTCGAGGCTCTCAGCCATCATTCTAGCGTATTCACGCTCGAACTCAGCCTCGTCTTCCGGATCGACAGCTTCTTCTTGGCGTGTCACCACGATTGCCTCGTCATCAAAGTTGCTAGCGTGATCTGATCCCTCCTCTCCCTCATCAGCATCCTCCTCCTCCTCGGAGATGCTTTCGTCATCCCCTTCGCCATCACCATCAACATCGGCTTCGATATCGTCCGCCTCGCCATTATCATCCTCGGAAGATGGTTCACTTGTGGCATCATCGGCTTCGGCGGCCTTGTCGGCACCAGCCATCTTTTGGTCTTGGGCCATTGCGAGTTGGAAGGCCTTAGCAGCCTCTTCCAGGTTGGATGCAAGTTTCCATTGCGGGCGAGTTAACGCGAATGTATCGTGAACGCTGAATTCGATATCCATTGGCAGGGAGGGCTTGATAAAGATGTAATACTGGAAAAAGGATAAGAAGTAATCCAACTTCTTCCCAGCGGCCCCACGATTAAAGAAGACGCCGCATGTCTCCAGCATTACAGATGTTAAGCGAATACGGAAGTAATCGTCAGGTAAGTCGAACGGATTGAAACGACCTGGAACCGGTGGACCACCTACTCCATTGGTGAGCAATCAAGTTCAAGGCTACATACACAAAGGTAGACGTACCGTATCCGAAGGTGAGGATCTTGTACATAATGTCAAAAATGACAGGGTGTTCCAGGAGGCGATAGTTGTATAGTTCGCCCAAATACTTGACCTCCGCGATACGACGCTGGTAGAATCTAAAATCGTTTTGCTCTAGCCCCAAGTTGATCGACTCAATGACATTATCGATCACCCTCACTACAAAAGCAGGATGATATCGATACAGTGCACCGAGGATGACACCGAGAAGATGAATGTTGCCGTACTTCATCTTGCCAGGTTTCGAAAAGACTTTCTCAAGAATCGCGACGACCTAATTCTCAGATTGGTCAGACTCGACTTCATATAGAGCAAATTCTCAACCAGCGAATGGAAGCATCATGAAGAAAGGGAGTTGTCACAACTTACCTCAGTCTCCTCCCAATGCAGTCTTCGGATTTGCTTCAGGATTTGGCTATAATTTCGCTTAGACATATCTACATAGACCAACTTCCGGATGAAGAGCTCCATCGGGGTCCTCTCTTTGATCTCGACGGCTGGTCTCTCTGGTGGGTCGACATAGTACACCGCGTTGTCAATGAGCATTCGCTCTGGCTGACCGATATGCTGAACCGACTTTTTTCGTTGGAGAGTTTCCAAGAAACTGGCCATGCGAGGTGATGTCTCGGGGGTCCTTAGGAGATACCGGCCACAGTTCTCTATCAAATTGCAGAGAATTTCGATATTCATTCGAGAAAAGTCGTCCAGGCTGACTTTGAGACAGTGAAACACAACATGTTCTGGGACAACTCCAAACTTTGTCAGCTCAGCTAGATATCGAATATTGCTGAGGCGAACCTGGCCCAAGAAATCCTTCTCCTTTCGTCGCTGCAGGCTTCGGAATTCAGCGTCTAGGTAGTCCACGAGACCTTTAGGGACGTCAGGCATGTATCTTCCTAGCGTAGCAACCAGCCGGGCCCAACAAGGGAGCAAGTCGGTACGGCCTTTAGGGACGTCTGTCAATGCCTTGACAAGTCGGTTTCGGGATGCCTTGGAGTTGAGGAAGCAGAAATCGATGGCAGTCTGATCAATGATTTCCTTAGACGTAAGGTCGGGTAACCTAGAAAGAAGGGCGTCCACCTGCGCTCCGATGGTCTTGTTCGCAATCGCTGTAGACTGATCATCCGCAGTGTTATCAATTGGCTTGGCAGTCTCAGTTGATTCCACCACATCAGTCTTCTTGCCAGACTGCTCGTCTGCATCTGTCTTCTTCTTTTTGCCGTCCTCCAGAAGAATGTCAGGAACCTTGCCCTTGATGTCTACAAGGTTCTCGTAGAATCGACGTTCGTCCTCATCCTCCCATATCCCAGCGCCTTCGCCAAATGATCGAATATATTCTCCTGTCTTGACCAATCCAATGGAATTACTCGACGCGGCGAGCGAATCTTCAGAGTCCTTCAAATCGGGCATCTCCGCTCCGATAGCATCGGCAACAACCTGTGCGTTAGAAACCAGTCGTTCTTGCGCCTTCACTTGCTTCTCATAGTTGGATTGGCGGTCTTCGAAGACCTCTCCCGACTTTACATATGCTTCGGCATTTCGACGTGCCTGAGACTGGATCGACTTTTGGTCTTTGACAATATGATTTTTCACATCTTCAAAATACTTCTTCAGAATTGTCTTGAATCGTTCTTGGAGCTCCGGGGGGGTAAATGGCTGATCGGAATTCACAGACGGTTGAGTGTCACTTCCAGCATGGTCGTCCTTTTCCTTGGTCGCAGCTTGCTCCTCTGTTGATGTTGTCGCGCCATCTTCCTCGACAGTTTTGCGGCCTTCAGATCCTGCGGGCTGCACACCCAAGATATCCCAGCTAAATGCTTTGACAAAAATGACCAGCAGGGGAAGATTTACATGTTCGCGATCATAGCCAAGCAAGTCCTTCAAGACCTCAAGGGGGAAAGGTTCGGTAGCTACCCCATTCTTATTCGGGTTGCTGCTTCGGACTTTAATCTCGGTGGCCTTGCCTGCAGCTGCTTTCGTCGCATCATCGGGCTTCGTTGCATCGTCCAGAGTGCGCAAAACCCCAACCAACCATAGTTCGGTTACAACCCGAAGCAAGGCTCGTTGTCGGGTAATGCGTTCCTTCTCTTCCTTCTCGCGGGCGTCCGGGGCAAGTGTTTTGAGAAAACTCTTATCGGGCGTCGCCATGCCTTTGCCCAACAGCCATGCCAAATATTCGGTGAACTCACCGGGGCCGAATCGTTGGTGGAGAGCGCTAACAATCTCCACGCCTGCTTCAACCTCGCCGGGAGACTTGAGCTTGCAGAGGCCTTCGTAGCATGCGGATATAATTTCAGACAAGTACTTGTGCAGACTGAGGGTGCGGATCTCCTGGAGAAAGGTGCTAAGAGTGGCGGCGGTGACGGCGGTTCGCAGACGTTTAATGAAGGCGGTATTCTTCTTCAAGGACGAATCGAGTGTCCCATTCACAGAGAAGACATCTAACAAGGAGGGGAGGGGTCAGAGGATATCTGAAAAGCGTCTGCGACATTGGGGAGGCGGATCCCCAGAGGCTCGAGGCAGGGTAGGGCTTACCAGTATCGCCGTCCCAGGCCCTCTCATTTAGAGCACGCAGCTCGCCTACCTAATCGTTAGATGGGTATGCCAATGGCCAAACAAACAGGAGCGCCTCACGCTTTCTTGCGCGATCCATAACGAATCGTTATCTTAGGGATTGGGTGTGATCAATCGAGCGTAAAATGGGCCTACATCCGGTCGCTTCAGAGATATGCTAAGGGATGTATTGGCCCAAGAAGTGGTACTGCGGTCGGGCTAGGTGAGCCGGCATCGGTGCTTCCACGGGAGAGCAGAGCGCTGGAGATGCAGTGCCGCAGAAGTTCGCATACGCTGGGGTCGTTTCTCGGTGCCAAGATCTGTTGGTGAGAGGCGGGCAGGGTTGGTGGTGAAGAGAGAAAAGCGACGAGGTACTGCCTACATTGAAGATCATCCACAGTGGGAGTGGGAATAATTACGGCCTCTGCGGATTAGAACCTTGCCCAACTCACTGTGTTACCCTGTAGAGGGGCAGGATTTGTGGGCGTAGTCCTTCAATTTCATCATCGCCCAGGCGAGTACCCAGTATTATCTACAGCCCAAGGCCAGGCGTCCAAAGCAACATGCAAGAATAAAGTCTTAGTTGCCATTCCTATTAGAACCATAAGGTGTTTCATATTGATCCTTCTTTTCGGTTTTCCAATGAAATACAAATGTCTTGATCACCACCAAACGCTTCCATATTCCGATCAGAATTAACTGATCTCCTCTTTTGATCGCATCATAGGCATACGTCCAACTTGTAACTTTTCTCGAATGGGGGCGGTTATCAATACCTCGAAACCCATTTTTTTTTTTTTTTTTTTTTTTTTCAAAGCAAAGAGCAGACTCGCTGGGATTCATATCTCATAAGCCTTTGTGGGAGCGTAGGCCACTTTCCGATGGTTACCTACCCGGGTAAGGGGGGTTTTCAGATATAATGTCAGTAGACCCCCTCAAGTTAACAGGCTATAAAGCTGTCAGCTGTCTGGTTTAAACAGAATGTTAGTGTGTTTATACTGTTAGAGCAAGGGTAGTCTGTTCTTACCTTACCAGACTGCTTATTTAGATAGGTAGCTGTTGGGTGCTGTACCTACTGTACGCACCTTCCGTAACACCTAGTACCTTATGTACTAAAAACCCGCGCCTGCCTCGCGTGAATAGATGCCGTAGTTGTTAAATGCGTAATTATCTGTAATTGAAGTCTCCAGTTCGAATCCCTAATTTGTAAATTGATTATCCTCTTCTTATTCCTTCTGGCCAGCTGTATCAAGCAGTAAGTCAGAAGGGATAGGAAGAGGATAACTTTTTGGAAAGTGGAGCTATTCCTAATTGGGCTACTCAACATTGTGCTAGTATTATAATAGCCTCCAACATTAGCTATTTGGTCGTCAGGCTTCTTAGGCTGAACAGTCTGGTCTAGTAATTACGGGTATATGCCGGTGTTTAGTACAGCCAGACTGTTTTAGCTTATAATCCTGGAGATATTCTGTCTAAAAACCCCCCTCACCCGGGTAGGTAAGCATTGAAGCATACCCGTTTGGTCCAAGGTCGCAAGATCTTATCCTATTGCTTGGAAAACTCTATCAGTTAATTTCAGAGCTAGACGTGAAAATAACGATGAAGCTTGCTGAATTCTACTTCCAAGGAATGATGAATACACGGACGAAGGGATGGATAGATAGCGATATATTTTACCGCTTTGAATGCCGAGTAAGCTTTGGGCATAACATCTGGCCAGCAGTCTAAAGGAGACTACAGCAACAGTTGCAATCAGACTCGTCGCTAGGCCACTGAGCGAGATCGATTAGGGCCTGTACCGGCCTAATTCTGAATTAGCTTTTGGATAGGTAGATGTGGCCGCTTTATTAGTTGTACGATACGATCTTTATCGCCTTCAAACGCGAAATGGGCCTCACTCTGGCAGAGCGAGATCTATGACCTACCGTGCCGTAGCTCGTCTGAAGTTGTAGCAGCTATAGCCGCTGCTGGCTGTACCTAGCCACCATCCTAGTCTGTAGCAGGCAGGGTGATTTCTTACTTGGGAAAGAAAAAAAAAGGGTCCTGGCCAGGGTCCATATCTCTACCTATGTACCTACCTTAAGGCATTTCTAAAATAGCTTTACAGCGAGGTTTAAAGCCACAGGAACGACGTCTTGCGCTTCGTGTCATTGACCCCTCGTAGGCAAATGCTCGGAGAATTACTGGATAAAGAACGGGAGCAAAAGATCCGCTGCCTGCCCTGCATTCGATGCCCGATCTTACCCCACATCTGAGTCACAGCTTGCACCATCCTGAAGCTGCCCACACTTGAGGATTCCATCATCACCACCCCGCAACCTGAATGGTAATCAGAGCGAGCGCGTTCAGAGGTGTGTCCCCTCATACGCTCGTCTCCCGCCTATTGCCTCCCATCCTACGACGCTCACGATCAACAATTACGGCGCGTCAATTCAAAATGGGTCAACCATCCGAAAGTTCGCAGCCGGTCCTTCGAATACTCAACAGCCTCGGTGGGCAGAAGACGGTCTTCACCCCAATCGACCCCGAAAAGAAGCGCATTACTTGGTACACATGTGGCCCGACATGTTACGACGACGCTCATCAGGGCCACGGGAGAAATGCCGTTTCACTTGACATTCTTCGTCGTATCCTGAAAGACTACTTTGGCTATTCGGTCAAGTTTGTGATGAATATCACGGATGTGGATGACAAGATTATTCTAAAGAGCCGACATCTACATCTCGGGGAAAAGTTTCTGAATGAGCTCAAAAGTCAAGAAGGGAGCAAAGCCAAGGCTGACGCCCTCAATGTTGCCAAGGAAGGCCTACGATTTTACATTGCAAAGAACCTGCCTCTCTTGTCGTCTGACACTTCACCAGAGAACTACGATGTGGAAGTCAAGAAGGCATACAGCAATATTGTCGACCAGGAGGTGACAGAAGAACAGGATGCCAAGCTCAAGATGCACATCCGCAATGGCCAACAAGCCGCGGGTGCTTTGCTGCGCCTGGAAAAGGCAACAGACCCTGCACCGCTGTCCGACTTTTTTGATAATGCGAAAGATGTCCTACACCCGTATCTGGACAGCCTCCACGGCGCCACAATCGATAGCAAAGACCACGATCTTTTCAGCGCAGTTGCCCGCAAGTACGAGGAGCGCTATTTCGAGGATATGCACGCATTGAACGTCCTTGATCCAGACGTCCTCACCCGCGCCACCGAGTACATCCCCCAGATGATAGCCTTCATTCAGCGCATAGTCGACAAGGGCTTTGCCTATCCAACTGAAGACGGATCCGTCTACTTTGATATCTCGGCCTTCGAAGCTGCTGGCCACAGCTATTCTGTATTAGAGCCGTGGAATCGCAACAACGCGGCGCTCCGGGCAGACGGCGAGGGTTCGTTGGCGAACAAGGCGGTGGCCAAGCGCAACGATGCCGACTTTGCCCTCTGGAAAGCAAGTCGACCTGGAGAACCTGCCTGGCCGAGTCCGTGGAACGAAAATGGTGGAAGACCTGGCTGGCACATCGAGTGTAGCTGCATGGCGTCTGACGTGCTGGGCGGTGCTATAGATCTTCACTCTGGCGGAGAAGATTTACGCTGGCCACACCACGATAATGAAGTGAGATTTTTCAGTCTTCTGTGAAGAGACTATACTAACTATGACAATAGATCGCTCAATCAGTCGCATACTGGTCTGACAAAGGCAAATCGGCGCCCTGGGTCAACTATTGGCTCCACACCGGCCATCTCGGCATGAAAGGCTTAAAGATGAGCAAAAGTCTGAAGAATTTCATCACAATCCGCGATGCACTTAAGCAACCGGGATGGAACTCCCGTTCGCTGCGAATTTGCTTCCTTCAAGGAGCCTGGCACAACAAGATTGAGATTACCGAGACCACTCTCAGTTCGGCGGCAGCATGGGAATCCAAATTAAACAACTTTTTCCTGCAAGCCCTTGACGTTGGGAGATCATTGGATGACTTGGCAAAGACATTGGACAGCATCCATGATGAAGAATTGAAGTTTGAAGCTCTTGAGAAAGCAAAAGCCGGCCTGCACGAGGCACTGTGCGATTCTTTCGACACTCCAGCAGCCATGAGGATCGTCTCGGATTTTATAAGTGAATGCAACGTCATGGAGGACCTCCCAAGTTCGGCATTGCTTTCTGGTGCTAGATGGGTCAACCGCATTGCCACCATCTTCGGCCTCAACCCGCAAGGTGAGGCAGCTGTGCTAGCACAGGGTGACTCGAATGGGGCCGTCGAACAACAACAGTCCGTGTCGAACTACCACTCTCAGATCATCGCGTGGCACGGCGTCGAGATTCCAGCCGCTGCCCAGCAGCCCATCTATACTGCTTCCAAGCTCCGAGACGACGTAAGACAGCAGGTCCTCTCCGACCCAGGCCACATTGATTACGCCAAGTTGACAGAGCTGGTAAACGGTGCCTCTCTTGGCACTCAATCGAGCACTGCAGCAAATTCCAATAACCGGTATCAAGCAGTGGCGACGCAATTCCGCGATGACATCCAACATCTGACAAAAGAGAGCGCGCCTGCCAAGGACATCCTTGGCCTCTGCGATGCCTTCCGCGATGTCCACCTCTACTCTCTTGATATCTATCTCGAAGACCGCGCAAGTGGTCCCGCGCTCGTCCGACCGTTGGATCAATCGATCCGAAAAGCTTTGGAAGAGAAGCGTGCCGCTGCTGAGGCGGCTCAATCAGAGAAGGCAGCTCGTAAAGCTGAAGAGGAGGAGAAGCGACGAGAGAAGGACCGTCAGGCGAGCATCAATCCCCGTGATATGTTCAGGAATGAAAATTACTCGGAGTGGGATGAGCATGGTCTTCCGACCAAGGACGCAAAAGGGGAGGAGGTAACCAAAAGTGCAAAGAAAAAGTTGGTCAAACTTTACGAGAGACAACAAAAGCTATATAAAGAATGGCAAGACAGGCAGTAGTTAGAAAATAAAAGTGGCCAACTAAGCGGCAGAGAACTAGACAATACTGCTACGGACCGTATCATCTCGTTTATCAAGCAACTACCTCCTCGTGACTCGCGCTAGTTACATGGTCATTGAAGCAAGCCCGCTTGTATAACATATGTGATCTTGGGAGACGTTCAATCCGTATATCAAATAGGCCCAGTGGCTTACGTCTGGCAAACGACTAACCTACGAACATCCTTCCCTTAGCTGCTACCTGTCTAGGTCCCGATTCCCGCTCATGGCGAGAGTTAGGTCGCGCAAACTTGACAGGAGTTGGGGAAAGGATGGGCCAATGCTATCAATGGGCGATTGTCGAGCCTCCAGATAAAGAAGGCGGCAAAAGTCATGTAAAACTTGAGTATCATGGAGGGAACTCTGGCAGGAAATGAATAAAATTAAAGACCAGGTGCGTCAAATTATGTGATGGAATAATCCAACGAGAACTCAAACGAAGACCCCTCGAGAGGTTTCAGGATAAAATGCTTGCTTTCTCAAACTAAACTCCTTGCCCAGCGTGGCCTGTCTCCCCCATCTCAATTTGCTCATGTCACGTCAAATCATTTCAAAGAGTACATCCCTCGATTCAACATCGCTTCCAGGGACAATGACAAGCATCCTTTTCCTCAGTGGTGGGTGCTCACAGGGTTGGGGTAGTGCCATGCCGAGACAGCAATAGCGACGTAAAGCGTCACGCAAAGGAATCCTTCGAGGTAGTCGCTCTTCTGATCCTGCAAAAACCTGCCCACCGTGAGGATGGCAAGAATCAGCATGGCCAGGTTGAAGACTTCGAACTGCAAGTCCATGGATCGGTTCAAGCCCCAGCCTATAATGACAACCAAGGGCCCGTTGAAGAGCGTGGTCTGAATTGTAGCGCCCAGGACGTGAGACAAGGCAAAGTTCATCTGGTTATCCCACGCTTCATCTATGGCGGTCAGATGCTCGGCAAACTTTTCCACGAGAGGGACCAGTATCAGGCCCATGAATGGGTCAGAGACGCTCGATTCTGCGATGACATAGTGGATTTCGAGAACGAGATTGATGGAAATCACAGTGACGAGTGCAAGAGATATGGTCAGAGAAATGATGCACTCCGTGAGAGTGAGCTTATCCTTGGCCATGTCTTTGGCTTTGTCGGCGTCGCGGTGCTCGTCGTATTCGAAGATGGCATCGTAAATTCCATGGTGCGTGCGGACTTGGAAATATACGAACACAGCGTAGGCGATGATCAGCAAGACTGCAATAATCCGCGAGATGTTCAAGGTGTCAGCGTTCAGGTGCTCTTCGTCAAGACCGTATTCGCCCAAGCCAAGTCTGAAGAGCGTAGGGACAGACAACACAGCGCCACTACGGACCAACGCCAGCTATGTCAGTAAATGGAAGCAAAAAGACACCGTTGAGAGTTCTGAGTACTACTTACGCAGTAAGCAGCAAGCCACTGCCTGTTTCACTGATGGCATCACTGAAGGTTTGCTCGGTTCGCTTAAGACCTCCGACAAAGAAGCAGAAACCGAGGCACAGGAGCATAGTTGCCAAGATGGACCCTAGAATGGCAGCTTTGATAACGTAGAATTGATTTTCGACCAAGAGCACGACGAAAAGGATAATCTCGACAACCGAACCAAAACTTCAGATTTCCAATTAGCCTTGTGCGGGTGGTTTGAGGGTAGGCGAGGAAGCGGAAAGGAACATACGTGATTTCGGTGAGCACGCCAAACACATGAGGCATCTTTTGCGCAAGCTCCTGTCCGGCAAAACCTACAAGATTTGCACAGGGGACCATGGCAACGTACAAGAGCGCGAACTTGAGGAGGTGGTTCCCCTCCAGGCTGTCTGCATTCACATTAGGAAAGGAACTGTTCACATCCAGGGTAACAAGACCTACATCGCACCGCCAGAGCGGCTGGAACGAAAGGCCAGAGCAGATTGCATAGCGTGCTAGCTTTGCTCGCAGATCGGAAGCAGATGCGAAGAAAATGCCATGGGTGAATACCCCGGCGACCGCTCTCGCCCCTTGGGTTCAGCTTCATCGGACCTTTCTCGCTGAGTTGTTTGTTTTGCTTGTACTGGCTGAAGGTATTTGGTGCCGGGAGGACTGAAGCAGTCTTTCCATTGCTCTCTGGGCTCCCTTCTGGCCCTTCATGTTCGGCGCTGGGTCGTGGGGAGTACTTGCTCACATACGGCGAGTGAGTTGGCCCGGCCATGATGAATAGAATGAATTGATTGCTTGGCAGCGCAGGCGGCTCAACCCAATGCCAGCGAGTGGATTGTGTGCGTGTGAAATGAGTGAATGTAAGAGGTACAAAATAAAGTGAGAAGCACTTGAGAGAAGGACGAGCTATGAAGGAGGTCACCTCCCTCTTTAGACACACAACGCCTGCCTAGAATCAGGAATTATATTTGCAAGAACGACACATTAGGGGGGAACACAAAGCTAATAATGATGGGCGTCAAGAGCAGAAGGATCAATTATCAGTCGCTCAGCTCAGACCAAACAAGCCGGTTGCACGATGGGGGCCAATCACGCCCATCACCCTTGATCAGGGATGTGGGCAAGGACGGGGTGATACGTGGCGGGTGTCGCATCCATCCACTCCACCAGCAGCCCGTCCAAGGCATCTAATTATGTCACAGGCAGGCCTCCGGAAAGTGGGTGGCGGCGATGCGTCGGCTCATTGAAACCGCCGTGCAACCAGGCCGGCATGACATGGTACCTTGACGAGGCAGGCCAGTCGGTTTGATGACTTTTAAGCGCGGACCAGCTGAAAACTGAAACAGGGCACAGTCCTGCTGACAGCTGATGGGCAGCAACACCACTCACCTCTGCTCTCGATGGCCGCATCCAATGTTATTTGATGCATGAAACAAGATTGGAAGGCCTCCAATGTGGGCGGGAGCTGCCGCAACTACGTAATATCGCGGGCGCTATCTTTGGTGCAATCCCACATTGATGCTTGCTGCAGGGGGCCTTCAATGTAAGCGGCCTGCGTGGGGATTAATTGCCAAGGACGGGGACGGGGAAGGGAGGGGCCTCTTGTAGTCGTGCCAAGTATTTTCATCCAGGAGATTAATTCCACCGATTGGTTGAATGAGCGCCTACGTATTACATCGACATATTCTTGACTCTGGACAGAAACCAACGTCCGGGTAAAAAGACCAATGAGCATGCTCGCTGTTGTTACGCAGAAAACCACATCCGCTGTCAGGAGCGCAAACAACCCAGTAAGCGTGGATATTACAAAGTAAGATGTATACACCTCTATGTTATATTGGTGGTAACGGAGGTCAGCGAAGAAGCGATATCAAGGGGTGTGATGCACAGCCCTCGTATCTCATACTGATCCGAAGTCCTTTTCACACTTAGTCCTCATCCTCGACCTTCACAGTAACCACCTCAGGCGGAGGGTGCCCTCTAAATGGCACAGGCTCGGGCGCCACAACCGTCTCAATCCCAATCGGCGAGTAGTCTTCGGGCCCCATTGGCAGCTCCTCGATATCAATCTTGATACCCAACAAGCTTTTCAGTACCACTTGACTGCCAGCCTTGCTCATCACCTCGTTTGACTCCTTGCATAGCTCGGAAGCCACACACTCTACGCAGCCGCGCTGGCACTGACACTCCTCAACCCTCTTCAGCGCGCCCCTCAGTAGATGCTCAATGTGATCAAACGCTTTGGTGTTGATCCCCGACCCTCCTGCACCGCCCTTGGCGTCATAGAATGTCAACCGTGCAGGTCGCTTGCGCTGAGTCTCTTTTTTTGCAAACTCTTTGAGGGCGACTTTGCATTCCGTGCGAACGTCGCCAGGCATACTGACGACAAACGTCGGCAACAAGCTCATCATAGCATGCTCGGCTGCGTGGATGGCCGCTGCAGAATTCAACCGCCGTTCTTGGAGAATGTCCAGTGCCACCTTGGGCACATCGAGCCACACTCCTTTGCTATACCTGATCACGGGTGGATTGTCCACTTGAATCGCATCAAGAATACGCCCATTCCTATCCACCTTGAAAAAGCCGAACACGTTTTGTTGGATCTTGATCGCCCCGTAATATGCGTGGTATGGCGACCCGGATATTCTGGAAATCGCTTCTGTCTCAGTAGGATCGATGTCTGTAAAGTCCCGCTGCGTAGTTGTCCAGTCTACCTTGACCTTTTCGACCTTGGCCATGTGCTTGTCAGGTAAGAAGTCCCGTACGAGATAAGTGTTTCCCTGGTGAAGGAAAATGGCACCATCGTAGATGGTAAATGTAGCTCTCGATGCCTCCAGCTCTTCCAAAACTGTGTTTTTGCCGTTTGTTATGTCGATGATGGCAAAGTGTTCATCTTCTGTATCTCGAATAGCCACAAATTTGGACGGGACGGGACGGAACCGGTCGTGGCAGTGATAATACCCAGTCTCATCCTCAACGAGTCTTTCTTTACATATCTGCGGGAGGTCTTCGCCAAAGTACCGTCGGTCTTCCATTGGTCGAAGGGGCATCTCGTATGCCGCGCACTGGATGTGGCCTTCCCGAACCAACATATTCTCCAAATCAACTTGCAGAGCGCAATTTGGCTTCGTGAATAGCTCGTCTGGGTTTTGCATGTAATGCTGGTCTGTAGGAAAGCTGTCGCCCACCAGAATCGATACAGAGTCTTTGTTGCGTCGCCCAGCTCGGCCGCTCTGTTGTCGTAGATTTGCAATTGTATATGGGAATCCCCAGGTCATGACACAATCTAGAGAGCCGATGTCAATCCCAAGCTCCAGAGCAGTCGTTGACACAATCCCAAGCAGCTTCCCTTCGAACATTTCGCTCTCAATTCTTCGCCGGTCTGCTGCTGTGTAGCCACCTCGATATCCCATGACAAGATTGACACACTCTGGCCGGCCCATGAGCTGCAACTCGTGTTTAATGGCGTTGACCAATTTCTCACACTGATGTCGCACCCTACAAAAAGCGATTATCCGAACCCCTCGCAACATAAGGGCACAGAAAAGGCGAGCACACTCAAATTTAGCGCTCCCCCGCCCACTCGCCGGGTCTCCTGGGTCCCTGTATGGGGTGTTCCAGCATACGAACTCTTTCCGGCCGGAAGGTGACCCATCAAAGTCAATCAAGCGTACGTCCTGGATACCAAATATCGTGCTGAAATGTTCTTTTGGGTTTGCTACCGTTGCAGAGCAGCTCACGAATTTGATCTTCCGGTTTCCCAACGCTGTGCAAATTCGTTGGAGTCTTCGCATAATGAATGCAACATGTGATCCCATCTGCCCATTATAGTAGTGCAGCTCATCAACTGGAGTTCCTTGGATCAGCAGGTGGAAGGGGCCAAGGAGACGAAATACTGTTGAGATCCTCACTTACCCACGACGAATTTCAGATTCTGCAAAAATATCCTCCACTTTTCTTCCTGTGGCAGAATAGTAATATGGAGCATATCTGGGTTGGTGAAGATGATCCTGGCCTCATCTCGAATAGTCCTACGCTCAGACATCGCCGTGTCTCCGTCAAAGGTTTCAATAAGAGTATCTTCCAGGCCCGGCATGTATGACATGACTTCCTTCAGACTTCGCTTTTGATCCTGAGCCAAAGCCTTGGTAGGGAAAATGTACATTGCGCGCGCATGAGGGTTTCTCTCCAGAGCATGGATAATCGGCAACTGGTAAATCAAAGACTTTCCGGAACTTGTCGACGTTGACACCACAACATTGTGGCCATCAGAAAGGCTATTGAGCGCCTCGGCTTGGTGGGCATAGAACTTGGTTATCCCCTTCGTGTTGTAAAGTGCATTCACTAAATCCTGGCTGAGGAGGAAGTTGAGATCTCCGTACACAGGTTCTTGTTCCTCGAAAACGCGATGTCCGTCCGGGACAATTTGGCCCGTGTACCATGAGCTCTGTTTAAGCTCTTCCAGTATTTCCGGTATACGTTTTCTTTCCTTAGGAATATGATCGGGGATGTCAGAAGCAACCAGGGCTGCTTGATCATCAGATGGCGATGATGATGCAACGGGAATATACTGCTTCGTGCGCTCTGCCAACACAATATCCGGGTCAAGCATATCCTCCTCGCACTTGTTGAGAAAATTGCTTATCGCATTGGAAAACTTTTGGTTCCGCCGCTCAATAAGCTGCAACATCTGTTTCTGACTGAACACAGGCATCTTGAGCTCTTCATCTCGCAATTTGCGGGTTGCTTTGGTTGGCTCCCCAGTCTTCGGGTCCATAACCTGGCGCTTCAATTCGCCATCAATGAACTCGAAGAAGAGAACTTCTTTCCCGCTCGGCGCAATCTGCCGTTCATGGTATGTATCAAGGGTCTCCTTCCCCGACCAACCCCCCACAGAGGAGTCATGTGCGGGGACCTGAGTGCGGATTGACTTTGATGACTTGAAAGTATCATCTCTCTCCGACCCTTTCACATCTAGTTCAAGCATGACTTCGTCCACATAGGTGAATTTGATTCCTTCTGGTCGTAAGGCAACGATCGACGCCACCTCTTCGATTTTCAGTGGTCGTTTGATATGGCTCTCCACAGCAGTTCTAATCGTATCAAAAGTGGTGGCCAAGTGCTTCCGTGTGCAACAGAACGTGAACACTAGATTGAGAGCACGATGAGTCTCATTAAGGGCGGTGAATGACGAGGGCCATTCGGTCCTGCATTCAACAACTTCAGTCGTTGTCTGTTTCAGGCTTGGTCGAGGTCTTGACTTGGCTCGTTTACTACCGGCAGACGACGAAGACTGGTCTTCCAAATCTAGGCCCGGGCTTTTTCCAATTTTTCTGACCTTTGAGGCCCCTTGGGAAGTTCCATTCTTCTCCTTTTGTTTGCGCTTCCCTGTCTGTGTCCCAGAGGAACCTTCAGGGAGGCCTTCTGAACCAGGCAGCTGTCGCGGCATGTTTATGGAACGAACTCGCGTCCATGTACGTTTTGGGGCATTGACTTGTAGAAGAACCGGTAGAGAATGGAAATATGTCTTCTTGATGAGGCGCCTTCCTACCTAGGAGATAGGTAATCAGCTCTTCACGCATCAAGACTTAAGCTAAGACACGGAGTCACGATACTGACGCCACATCACGTGATCCATCCGACATCAATGCCATCATCATCGCACATCAGCCCGAAGTTGACAATACCCATCATCATTGATCCCATCTTACCCAGTGGTTAGTGCTATCTTGGTAGTATTTCGGGTGGCACGATACTGGTCTGTGCAATTGCGGGGGCTGGAGAGCGCCGGAAATGGCTTGCGCAGATGGCGACACCATCAAGCGTCTTGCTTGGCGGCCAGACGAATTGGATCAGTCAATGTTGTCGTTTGTTCACATGCCAACGCCTCCCCTGATCAACGTTGCCAGCCGGACTCCTGTATTCGGAAGTCTTGATAGACTTCCGCCAGAAATCCTACACATGGTTCTCAATCTTTTAGACTTGCAAACACTTTCCCGTATGACACAGACCTGTTTCTCCGGTTTATCTGTTATCCAGTCCTTGACAACTTACCGAGGGTTGCTGGAGCATGTCCCATCCACAATCGCCGCACTTGGTCAAACGAAGCTTCTGGGCGTTCATACACTGGCTCAGCTTTGGAAGGCTCTGAGTTCGGACCGCTGCGAGTGTTGTCCATATTACGGCGCGTTTCTATTCTTCCTGACCTGCATGAGATGCTGCTGGGAGTGCTTGAGGCTCAAACCCTCCCTGCGAGTACTTTCCTTGCAGAAGGCGAGAACTTATTTCGGTCTAAAGAAGAGCCATATTCAACGGCTTCCCGCCCTGCATCCTGTACCTGGCAACTATATGTTTTCGCATACCGTTAAAGTACCACCTCAACTTGTTAGCGCAGCTGCAGCAAAAGAGCTTGGTATATTTCTGCACGGTTCATGCGAGAGCCTCGAAGACATTTTGTCGAGGAGATTAAAGTCGAAATCATCCAGAGCCACTGGGAGGTTTTACCAAAGAGCGTCCATGACCCCTTCGAAGGAAGACTTATTGGCGAGACCAGGCCAGGGAAATATCCCAACATCAGAGTGTTTCGGCATGGCATCGACACCATTCCCATACCTCCAAACGTCGGGCAGTACTGAAAATGGGCTTTGGTGCAAAGGCTGTCAGTTGATAGCTGAACTTTATGGTGCGAGGAAGTTGGATTCTACTAGTCTTGCGAGGATTGTTCCACATAATTGGGAGCCTGGGCGCGTGCTACATGGGATGGCCAAGAGAGCCAGGTCTAAGGCAGAATTCATGGATCATATAAAGGGTTGCTATGGGGTACAGCGGCTTAATTCAGATGCTACAAGTGATGTTTGACTATTCTGAGGCATGCGTAGATGTGACAAGGAGGCTGTATAACTACTACTTGTCACTGGTCGTCAATTACATGACACGTCTGCCCGTAGCCGCTGAACTATGTCGCTATCTAGGTCCCTTGGCTCCCCCACAGCTTTCAAATGTTGGCTGTGGAGGGCAATGGTTATCAGTTTCTGGTTGAACAGGGGGGCACGCTGCTGATGGTTGCGAACATCTGCTATTGACACATCGGCTGCCTTTTCAGGTTGATATATCTGCCTCAACGTCACAATAGTTCTCCATCGACGACCAGAAAAGGGCAATATCTGATATTCCGCAACTCACCAAGATATTTAGGCCCGAAGAAAGCTTTGAAGTCCTGAACCAGGAATGATGATGAGAATGGCCCGGACCAGATCCGCGCCGGGAAAAAAAGTTTACCATCTCACCATATCGACAAACTTTTCGACGAAAATACCATATACAGGCCCTACCTACTAACTCCCCCAATTATCAGGTTTTCCGGACTATGACTAAAAGAAGATGCAGGTTACTCGAGAAGACCGCAACAGCACATTCCAAGGCACACTATCGTCCGGCCTGTTGCGTGCGCCAAAGACTTACATAGGTATTTGGTGACAAGCCGGACCTCAAAGTTTGGGATCGTCATATAAGTAAGACCCTCTTGTAGATCCAGGATAGAGTCTTCAATAAGCTGAGATAGAGTCTTGTCAGCCTGAACAAGTCGATACATCCACTTGGGAAGACTAGGACATAAATATTGATTTGATATTCTGTATTCTAACCTGATATATAGGTGGCTGGTCCGGGTCACCGCCATTATCAACCCCCCAGGCACACAGCGTGTTGCTCTACTCTGCTTTCCATTGCCCAAACCCAGAATGAACAGTCCCATTTACGAGCAACAGTTCGAAAACTGTTCGCCCCCCAGATTAGAAACACAGAAGATTAAGATCATCCAATAGATGGAACCAGCCAAGGTTCATTTCCGTTATCTTCAAGTCATGTCAGGCGGTCTTGTGCCGAGGAGTATAAGAAAGAAAACGCCCTCAACTCCAGGGCCCTTCGTACAAACACAAACACGTTGGCCTGCCCTATAAGATCATTCTATTGTAATTACCTGAGGCGTGCAAAGCGCGATTTTGAGCCCCTAGCTGCTCTGGAGCTCTTTCTGGACAATACCAAGCTCGTTCATAAAAATCTTCGCATTTGCCGCCGTCATCTAAATGAGGAATATTTTTAGCCATCTCAAAATTCGATCATGTATCAACAAGGGAAATGAGGATCATACCTTAACCGTGATGCTCACGGGCTTAGCATCATCGCCCTCAAATGCTGTAAATATAATGCCGACAGACTTCAACGAGGCTCTTTCCTGGAATTTCATTGTGGGCAATATAGCAGTATTCAGAATCACACGGTGCGTCTGATCTTGGCGCAAGATAAGACGCGCTACCTTGTGACCCTTGCCTGCCTTATCCCCTTCGTCCTCGTCCAGTTCGAAGCCCGAAGCATCAAACGACCCGGGAACTGGTACGCCGGCGTCATCAAATTCAACGCAAGCCTCGGGGACGTTTATCTTGAGCATACCAGCTCCCCGCTCTTTCCATCCTACTTCCTTGTCATGGTAGAATACCTTGGCTCTTACAGAAACGATTGTTGCCTCGCCAGATTCGCCATCGTTGACCTCGACTATCAAAAGATGATGTTGTTAGCCCACAGTTCGCCTTAATACTTGTTCGAGGAATTAATCTTACCTTTCTGAAGCTTGAGTTTCTTCTTTTCCTCCGATTCCTTCTCTGGGGATGCGGCTCGTCCCTCATCAGGCTGGCTATCGCCCTCCGCCTCCTCGTCCGAACCATCTTCTTCCGCATCACTATCCGGCGCACCAAATGGCTTCGCTGGCTTGCCCTTCGCAAGAGGCTGGCTACCGGGAGCGGCAAAGCTGCCCAGCGGCTTAATGCCAGACAAGGCAGAGCCAAAAGCGCCACTCCCACTACCGAAAGCACTTCCAAAACCATTGGACGTCTTTGCAGCCAAACCACCAAAAGGCGAAGCACTGCTGCTCGCGCCACCAAAAGTCAACTTAGGTGCCTCGGGTGACGAAGCAGCAGGTGCTGGTGCTGGGGAGGCGAAGGAAGATAGTGGCGGGCCAGCTGCCGCTCCGAAACCGCTTCCTTTGGTACTTCCCAATGCTGCAAAAGGCGAAGATGCCGAGGATAGTTGTCCAAATCCTGAGGCAGCAAATGCGCTAGCTGATGTTTGTACCTCTTTTTTCGTAGGAGAGCTGCCAGATGGTATCTGCTTCGAATCGGCGGCGGATGTGGTTTGATCCTGCAGCAAATATTCAGAAAAGAGTTCAACTGCATACTTGGCAACTGAGTTGCCACCGCAAAACAGCTGGAACTTACCGATGGGACATTGCCAGCCTCGCCTTCACGATGTCTCTTCTTCTCTGGTTCTAACCTCGAGGCTCGGTCCTTAGCTGAGTCTGTCGACGTCGTGCTGGTGGCGTCATTGTCATCTGTGTCCTTATCCTCGCCCAACTGATCGTGTGAGCGTTTCTTCTTGGGCGAGAGAACTTTTTCCTCGTCGTTCTGTACTATGGATGTATCGGGGGTGGGCGTTGAGGGGTCCTCAGCCTTATCGTCCCCATTTACGGCTTCAGAGGCCTTGTCCGAGTCGGAAATAGATGATTGCTTAAGCTCTCGACGAGCAGCTCTTGTCTCGGCATCTTCGCTGGTCTCCACATGGGTGGGTTCAGTTTTTGGACTGTTGTCCCTGGGGGTTTCGTCTGCCATGGCACCTTTGGGCGGTAATGATGGTCGCGAAGTTGGGGATAGCGGGGAGAGGGCGAAGTCTGATCGGTACGAGTCGCAGGTGGGCGAGGTTGGAGGGGAGCGGCCCCGAGCTCACTGATTCTCGAGCTGGAGTTCTCTCACGGCGGGTATCTCCTTGTGCTGGAAAAGGTGCGCATAAGAGTCGAGGTAGCCGAGAAAAATGGCGTCAAGCGGGCAGAAATGTCCAGCTCTGTTGGTGAGGTAGGCAGGTTTAGTTGGCAAGGTTAGTAGGCAAGGTAGGCCTGGGATTTGCGCTCACCAAGTGGGTGGTTTGGGGTAGTTGGGCTAGTGTTTCAACACAGCGCTGGGCTTGGGTGACGAAAGAGCTGGGTCGCAGTCTCACGCTGGCTCTCTCACGCACACACCCACGCACAAGCGCTTTGCAGTCAATCAAAAGGCGCCGCTTTGTCCTATTGGTTTGCTTCGGCAGTTTCTTCTTAGTTCGTTGGTGGACATCGACAGGGAGTGTGGGATTATGTGCTGTAAAAAGAAGGTTCAGCAGGCAAGTCCAGGCTAGTCCTGTCCAATCAACGCCCCAGCAGACATCCAAGACGGATGCAATTGATTCTACCCTCATGTACCAATACCTACTTATGCCAACAGCAATTATGGAGCCTGCAGGTAGTCATTGAGGCTAGCGGTATTAATAAGTGCACGGGACGTCCAACCAGGAGATGGAAAACAAATGTAAGACAAAGCAGCGAGTAGTTGCACATCTCAAATCGCCCCGGAATCCTCTTCTATACGAGGGCATAGCACACAAGATCCTCATTCACGGCGCGTTTTGGTTACCACAAAGGCTACAAGAGGAAGAAATCAAATTCGATGCCAGCCCTTTTACACTCGATACAGAAAAAGCAATTGGCCATATGCTCCATTTCAACAAACCCAGATATACAGAGGGATCGGAAGAAAGAAAGAAAGGTTCTAGTAACAATACACATTGAATGTCCCTCTGGCTCATACAAAGAGGATGCGTCACCTCGCTCGCTGAAACTGCGCCGATCTTCTAGCTGATGAAGCAGAGGCAGCCGAGTCCCATGTAAAAGATAAAGAGAGGGAAAACAGCCAGCATAACCCGATTCTTCACCACACCACTACCGCCGAGGATGCTAACGCCAGCGGCCAAAGACCAGAGAACCAAAACAATGTACACCGGTATTCGTGCAATCCAGTAGAGATGGAGCGCAGACATGAGAGCGGCAAGGACAAGAGGGAACAGGGTGTACCCGATGATGCAGACGCTCTGGGCAAAAGAACTAAAATCCAAGATATCAGCATCAAGCATCACGCGCAGAAACATTCATAGAGCCTGGACTTACATGCTACCGCCCAACAACCGAATCTGAAGGGTTACGATCGCCTCGCCCAGCCAGACCATAGCAAACACGCCGCTGAAGACCGCATCTCGTTGCTCGGGGCGAGCATTGAAGCTGAGAAGCAGGCTCAGAAGGAGACAGAAGATGAGAGGACCCCAAAGATCCCAATCCCGTAAACCTGGCGTCAAATTGCTCTGTAGCAAATTGTCCGAGTCGATAACTCTGCTGGCCAGTCCAGTGAGCTCCTCCCTCGTACCAGTGATGCCAGCACCCCTGATGTTGGAGTAGGCACCCCGAATACCACCCTCAGAATCGAACATAGTACCACCAAGCAAGTACTTGGGGTAGAGCACCTCTCGCAGCTTGGCCCATATCGCGAGTAGGTCTCGCTTGAGAGTCTCCCATACCGTCTCATCAATCGTGTTCTGGGGCGCCCTACGATCTTCGCCAGGAATACTCGAGGTCCAACCTTCATTCGCAGGTCGCGATGAGGAGGAGCCAGATCCAATGTTACCTGTCAGCGGTTGGCTCGCAGATTGTGGTGCCAGGGGATCATCGAATTCGCCAAGGCTAGCTGTCTGCTTGTCAGCTCACAGAATTGAATAGAAGCTTGCCAGCGCCAGGTGCGGGCACCTACCATCATCGGGGTCGATCAAATCATCGTCATCGTCCAATGGTGGGTTGGTGTAGTGGCCCCTTGATGAAGACATCGTGTTCGGTCGCGCGTCCAGCTCTTCCGGGATTATTAAATCGCGGGCGGTACTGTTGAACAATGAAGAAGACGAGATGTAGATGAGGCGACGGGGATGTTCAGAATGACGCGGTGCGTTGCGCAGAAGGCGGGTTGCTCTGCCGAGAGGTGAGTTTGGGGTATTGTAGGGGAGAGAGCTGACGTATTGAATTATTACACGGTTGCCTTTCTGGAGGTGGTGCTCTCGATGTGCTAAGCCAGGAAGCAAGTACCTGACCCCAAATGCCTAGCGACAGGTACCTCACGCGCAGAGAACCCACTCTGGGTTCCATGGCCATGCCACTATTAATATGCCCCCAGAGGACAGGGAGCGTGCTTCCAATGTACCTTGCGTGCTAACCTAACTTGGTAAGAGTAAGCTACCCATCTCAATATCTAACCTATCTGGGTAAGTCTCACAGTGCTCGAGATCTCACAGGACAGTGTCTACTAATAAGGTACCTGTCTCAGAGCTAAGTACATGTGAAAGAGTGCTAGAGGTTGGTTCTTGTCTCCCTCCATCTAAGCATCATGCACCTTGCCCTGGCCATAGCCCGTCTTGAATATTGCTCTTTTCACTTATACATACGTGCTAACTCACGTTGTAATATTTGAGTCCTGGCAGTCATAGGTTTATTTTGTATTCTTGAATTCCGGAATGAGAGGAAATCTTCAACTGTCCCAAGTGAATCCAAGAGCAACCCCTACCAGGTGATTAGTTTGTGCCCACCCAACTATGAACGGAATAATACTACGTCAAAGGAGCCCGAAATGCCAGGCTTTCCATGGGAGTAAAGCCTCTAAAGATATAGTCCCTTATAAGTAGAGCTGAGATTGGTGGCAATTGCTGGTATTGAGGCACGTGTATACATAGGAGACATGGTACCTAAGCTGACTACAGATATGAAAATAAAAGAATGTAAATATCCAGCTTTGTTCAACTCCGCGATTTGTATGAAGACGAGAACCACTTCCATAGAGCGTCCGCTTTAACGTGGCGGATCTAACGCACTGTACACGCGAAGCATACTAGCACGCGTTGACACTGTGCGAATAAAGAAGAAAACACGAACACCGCCATTCTGGCAATTTCTCCCCTTCACGAGTAACTGGTCGTGTCCTCGGTCTGAGCACACCAGGGATAACGCGGTTAAAAGCATCCGAAGCTCACCACACATATATATTCCCCCATTCTTGAATATATTTCTCCTTTCCTTTCCCAATGGCTACGCCTGGTCATCTACCCATTAAATATGACGACGATGCCGCTTTCGACCTCCCGGAGCTGGCAGCTCATCTAGTCCTTGAAGTGCGCGATCCTGTCGACCTCCGTCTTGCTCAAGGCCCATACTGACGTTTTTGAAGGATGATACCAGGTTCTTGACTGCTGGAGACACATCCGTTGGAGGTAAATTTATCCACCCCACGCTTGTGTTTCTCTTACCTTTTATACCTAAAAGCAGGTAACAGAGAGGTCACGGCAAATTCTAACTGTATATCTTAGAGGTGTTTGCGGTGAAGTTCTGTCCATATCAGCCCATGGACGCGGATCCGGTCTTCGCCGCCGTCAGCAAAAAACACGTAAGAATTCTGTTCTTCGAGTATGCCATTTCCCTCTCTGACATCCCTTGATCCAGGTCGCCATCTGTAAGCTATGGAAAGACTACAGTTCTGGTAATAGCGTTTTCAAAACGGTCAAGCTCATAAGAGATGATGATGTATACCAACCCCAATATGCTCTCCCCTCATTAATAACCAGGACTCTAATTCTTCCTACTCAGGATGGCGTATCCAACTGCTGTTGCACATGGACTCGGGACCCAATCACCGGCGTGCCATACATCTGCGTCGCTGGATTTGACGGCATTGTCAAGGTGTATGACATTATCCAAGAAAAGCTTGTCGAGGTATGCTTTTCCAGTACAATGGGTTTATGGGCAGTCATAAGACTAACATGACTATCTCGTAGAGCTTCACTGGGCATGGAGGAGTAAGTGGCCTATATTCATAAACCCGATTGTGCATTCGCGACATCTACTAAATCGTAGGTCTTAGGGTATCAATGACCTGGCAACTTCGCCAGTTGATCCCGCGATAATCGCGTCAGCATCAGATGACACTACAGTACGAATCTGGACTCTGGATCCAAAGCACAGAGAGCAGCCATGTCTTTGCATCCTAGGCGGGGAGGGCCATATTGCCGAAGTTCTCACAGCGGTATGCCACTCGTCAATAAACCAACCCGCTCACCTCCGTCAGTTGATTAATCAAACCTCATTCAGGCTTTCCACGATAACGGGACCTTCCTCCTAACCGGCGGCCATGACCATCGAATCAATCTGGTAAGTCACTCTCTATCTCCATCGCTTCCACTTTGTAGCGTAAAGAAACTAACGCATGGACCAGTGGACGCTACCAGAACTTCCCACCGAGTGTCGAGAGGCACCAATCCAGGTGCATTATCCCCATTTCTCAACCTCTGCAGTTCACGGAGGCATCGTCGACTGGTATGGTTCTCGTTCCCTAATGCATTTGACATCTATTCGTATATAAGGCTGATTGCATTGAAGCGTTGCATTTTACGGAGACTATATCTTATCCAAGGCGCATCAAGATAATATCATTGTCCTTTGGGAGATTCTAGGCTTCTCCTCTGAGGATCCTCCACCGGCAGAGAGCATTGCACCTCTGCCGCAAATTCCTCGACCCCACGACCATCCAGCCACACAGTTTACGCGCTCTGCCTTTGTGCCTACAGTCTCAGCCGAATGCCCGCTTCAGTATGACCGGCGAATGCAATTCCATACACCAAAGTGTGGTGAGATGTTCTTCTTGCGTTTCCAGTTACACCTCCAGCCTGATCAGCACCCCATCCTAGTCTTTGCCAATCCGGCTGGCGAGATATTCATGTG